CTTGCACTCATATCTTTCTGATTCCAAGACAATTTCATCATTGACTTAGCCATTATACTTCTATGTCTCTCTCAATACACGTGTGTGGATTGTATGTAAATTTGATCTAGAATTCAAAGGAACTTTAGAAATCCTCTAAGCCTTTCTTCATTTTATGCCTAAAAAGAGTCCTCCCAGAGCAGAGCAAAGACTCTGAAGTTTACCAATTAGTAGAACCAAGATTCAAATTCAGGCCTTTTGACTGCAAACTCACAGCCATTCTAATCTTTCATGCTGGCTCCATTATGCACATAGCCACAGGCACAGGCACAAGCATGTACAGGAGTGCTTTGTTCCCTGAACATTGCCAGAATGCTAGGTAGGTTTTGGCTTCTCTCTCAATCCAACCTGGAGTATCCACAGAGCAAGAAGAAACAGATCGAGTAACTTTGCATTTCCAGAGAAGCCCCACAAAATTATAAATATTTTTTTTGAAAAACTAAATTTAATTTAATCATGGGAATTCTGACTAGGATGGAACTTATAAGTCAACTAACCAAACCGTCTCATTCTACAGAGCAGAGAGGCCTAGAGAGGTAATGTACTTCAGCTCACATAGGTATGAATTGTCAGTCAGAATTTAAACCCAGGTTTTTTGTTAACAAAGCTTAGTCTCATTAAACTACATGACTGAAGCTTCCTTTATGCCATGTATAACATCAGCAACATGCGTAAATGCTTCTACAGGTAGCTCGCTCCCCTCACAATTTTGCATCTCTCCAGATGCCTCATTCGGATCTGTCAAATGTCTGTATTTAAGTTCTCGTCAGCTTGAACAACAGAGCCCCCTGAGACAATGACTGCGGCACTAAGGTCATATTTGATAAAGGTTTAATAAACACCTAACAAGTAGCAGGCACTGTGCTAGGTACAAGGGTTACAAAGGTAAAAATACGGGAGTTCCTGCCCTCAAGAAGCTTACTTCCTACAGAAAGAAAACAATGGGGAGTTGGATTACTACTGACTAGGGGAAACAGGAAAGGGACTCTAGTAGGAAACAGCACTTGAACTGAGACAAAGGAAGCTAGGGATTGCAAAGAGAAGACGTTAGGAGGGAAAGCACTCCAAGCCTTGCAGACAAGTTTTGCAAAGGTAGAGAGGTAGGAGGTGGAGCTCCTAAGAATGAAATTCTGATGATTCAAGAACAAATGATTCTAGGTGGCACAATGGTTAGAGCTCCAGCCTTGGAGTCAGGAGGACCTGAGTTCAAATCCGACCTCGGACACTTGACACTTACTAGCTGTATGACCTGGGCAGGTCACTTAACCCCCATTGCCTCGCCAAAAAGCAAAAAAAAAAAAAAAGAGAGAGAGAGACAGAGATTCTATTTAAGAAGCAAAAGAGATTGAATTGATGTCACAGCACAGGGAAATCACTCACCATCTTGGAAGTTCACAAATTATATAGAGAAGATATATATATAAGGGCAGGTAAGAGAATATAAGTAGAAAGAGTGACCATTCATATGAACGTAATGTCACAAACACAAAAGCAGACTCTCAAAAGGAAATCTGGGACTTTGGATAAATTTTATAGACAACAAAAGAATACGGAAGTACCTTGATGAAATAGTGGACAGAGCACTGGAATTGGAGTCAAAAAAAGGTAAGTCATAATCTTACCTCAGACAATTACTAGCTATGTGTCTTTGGGCAAGTCACTTAACCTGTCTCAGTCTGTGTCCTCATCTAAAATGAGGAAGATGATAGCACCCACCTCACAGGGTTGTTGCGAGGATCAAATAAGAGACCTGTAATGAACTTTGAAAACCTTAAAATTTTACATAAATGTTGGCTGTTATTATTTACCTGTCAAAAAGTTGTACAATAAAAGAATGAAATTGATATTGTAGTTAAAGGATTCATCAAGCGCACAAGAATGACTTTTTTTTTTTAAGATGGGGGGCAAACTGAGCTTATTGTAGACAGGGGAAAGAAACAGTGGATAAGGAGACATTTTAAAGGAAGATTACCTTGAGACAATAGTGCGTAATCTGCAATGAATAAGTCCACCAGATTCACCTACTTTATAAGCAATCTGGTGAAGAATACTCTAACAGAACATAACTATGTCTCTCTTAAATGCATCTATTTGCTTCCAAAAGAGAGTGCAAAAAAATCTCTACCTGATATCACATCTCTAGCACTAATATGAGGGGAACATAAAATTACTAGAGTCAATAATGAATGAACCATGTAAAATGACATAAATTAACACCCACTAAAATGGATTTCATTATATTGTTGACGCCATCTCTTTCCTATGTTGCCTAAAATCTATCCATCTTCCTTATGCCCTGGCCCCACCCTGAGCTTGGGAACTTAACACAGTGCCTAGCACATAGTAATGACTTAATAAATGCTCTATCTATCCATCCATCTATCTATACGCCAAGTAGGAATGTAAATGGGCCTCTCTTGGATGTATTTGAAAGGCTGCTATGTTTGGTAAATGAAAGCTATTTCCAGGTGTCATAAAACCTAGCATAACTCCTAGGTCATGAATTATTCTCATGATAGACCATATCCTGAAATAGTTCTCTGTGCCATCATGAGATTCTTGTGTCATAACTCAGCAGCAAGCTAGTCCTTTCCATTTGCTGATGGTTTTGACTATTTCAGGCCCCTTCTTTTGAGATGTTATATTAGGCTACATGTTTGTGATTCCATATACCCAAATTTTCTCTTCTTGTAGCCACAATAGGTCAGTCTTATTACTCAATAATGATAATGAGCTGATGAAACGGTACTAAGGGAATAGCTTACTAATATATTTTAGGATCCTTTTTTTTAACTCTGGGTGGAGAGCTATTTTCTTACTCCCATTTTATGAGCAAAGTCACTAAAAGCCCCTCATACCAGTGAGCTTTTGCACATATAGAGGCGGGAGTTAACCCCAAATCTTTTTCTTTAATTCAATTAGATTAATTCAAGAAACTTTAGTTAAAATCTACTATGCCATGTACAAGTCACTTTGATACAATCTAGAAAACCAGGACACTGCCCCCCCAAAAAAAAACAGATCCTGCTAACAAGTTAACATTCTACTGGAGGATACAACATTAACCCTGATAAAGTACAAACATATATATATATATATATATATATATATATATATATATGCAAATATGTTTTTGTGTATATGTATACAAAAAATGTGAAGGGCACCAATACCTAAGGGGAATTAGTAAGGATTTGTATAGGAAGTATAAGAACTGAGACATAAAGGAAAATAGAGATTCCAAGAAGCAAAAGTAAGGAAGGAGTGAATTCCAGGCATAAAGAACACCCTGGCATTGAAAGGGAGGGGATAGATCCAAATCAGTAGGCATGTATTATGTTTATTATGTGCAAGATTTTTGGGATGCAAAGACAAAATTAAATATATGCCTTACCCTCAAGAGGCATAAATTTTATGGGGATTGAGGAGACAGGCAATAACAGTATTTACACAGAGGTCGATATAATTTGAGGAGAAAGAGAGCAATAGACACTGGGTATGAGGTGGAATGGGAGAAGAGGTGAGGAAAACTCCCCAGAGGAAGTGGCATCGGAATTGAACATTAAAATAAGCCAATAAAACAATCAATGAACAAGCATTTATTAAACACTTACTATGTACCAGACACTGTAGCAGGTGTTGGGGATACAGAGACAAAGAATACACACTTCCTGTCCTCATCAAAGGAGACAGCATGCACATATATAAGTATGTACAGAACAAGTACTGAATTAATGCAAGTGATTTTGTAAGAAAAGGCACTAGTATTTGAGGGAATTGGGAAAGACTTTATGTTGAAGGTGGGACTTCAGTGGATTTTTAAAGAAAGAGGTAATCTCTATGAGGCAGGAATGAGAATAGGAAATTATTATAGATAGGAAGGATAGCCAGTGTATATGCAAAGAGATAGGAGAAGGAGCGTAATTGGGAAGGAACAGAAAGCTAATTTGGCTAGGCTACAGAGTACTGGAAGTAGAATAGTGTATTACATGGCTGGGAACATAGATTTGGCCAAGCAGCGAAAGGCTTTAAAAGCCAAACAGAGGAGTTTATAGTTTGTTCTTAAGGCAATAGAGAGCCATTGCAATTTATCAGGGAGTCATTGGAGTTGTGCATTGAGACAGTCAAATCTAAACGAAAGAAAATCACTCTAGCAACTGTGAAGAAGATGGATGAAAAGAAGAGAGACTTGAGATGGGGAGATCAATTACAAGACTACTGAAGTAGCCTAAGTAAGAAGTGAGATATGTTATAGGGGTAGAAATGGCAAGATCTGTCAACTGATTGGTTATATAGGGCATGGAAGAGTAAGGCATCCCAGATAATGCTGAGGTCACAAATCTAGGGAGACTAGAAGAATGTTTGTACTCAACAGAAATGGGCGGTGGGGGAAGAAAATATGCATGTATATAGTTTTACTGTGCATCAGTCACTGTGCTAGGTGCTTTTACAAATATTATCTCATTTGGAAAGTTAGATGGTAGATGATGATGGATAACACAGGCAAAGCTTTGCTCAGCTAAATCAAACCTAGGTGTCCTCGCTGCCTCTCTTCACTGAATAGCCTTCTCCCTATGACTAAGTTAAACCTCTTCTTGTTAACTGTTGAATGACTTATGAGTATCTCATTTGGTTCCAATATCGAATCTAAACCACCAGAGTACTGGCTGAGTCAGGCCCAGCCCAGATCAGCATTGTTGATCACCTTCTTTGAGGATAATCTCTCCTCATCGGGAAGTTTAGTAGTGGGTTTGAGGGAAGGACAAGCTCCATTTTAGATATGTCCTATTTGAGATGGCTATAGCACATCCACTTTGAAATGTCCGCTAGACAATTAATGATATTGGGATGTAGCAACTTGTATTTAACTTCTTTGTATTTATTTATATTCCTTTTGTATTTTTCCAGTATATGCTAAGTATGTATTTGTTATCTTATCTGTTGAAACATAAACTGTCACCAAGAAAGAGTAAATAGACAGAAACATGGAACTTTGGGAAATACCCGATGGTAGGAAGAGGGATATAGATGATGTTCCAGCAAAGGACACTGAAAAGAAGTCAAAAAGGTAAGAGCAGAACCAAAAGAGTGTCACAAAAACCCAGAAAAGAGAAATTACTCAGGAGGAGAGACTGGTCATCAGTGCTGTTCTAGGCTGGGCATGGGTCAGGCTGGTCTTCTAGGAATTTAGGTTCAATATTTGAACAAAATGAGACACTTATAAGTCATTCAGTTAATAAAAAGAGATTTATTTAACAATACTGAGAAAGATATTCAACAAGCATAAGCACTGTGTACACTTAGGTTTGATCTAAGTAAGCTAAGCCCCCTAGTCTTCATTATCAATTGTCATCCACCCACTATCCAATCTTCCAAACGCCCTGTGGCTTCTTTCCAATTAGGTGACAAGGAGACATCAGCAGTCTGAAACTGTGAGTCCCCTAAACCAGCCAAGGCCTAAAGGAATGTGTCAATATCTTCTGAGGACAAACTAGATCGACTTGCAGGGAAGTCAGGGCTTCAGATAGTCTTCCTATCGGAAGTGGCAAATGTAACAGAGAAGTCAAGACAGATGAATATTGAGAATAGACCATCAGATCTGACAACTGAGATGATTGCTAATATTAGAGATCATGAGATGCAAACATCTATACAAAGACACAGAAGCTGGAAATGGAATACTAAGTTTAGAAACCAGGACGGTTTGCCAAGAATATAGTGTGTGTATAAATGTGGTATATGAAGGAGAGTAATGCGAATTAAATCTAGTTTTTTCACAGCTCTATGACCGTATGATCACTGAATTTTCCACTGCATTATGCTGTCTCTTTATTTTCTTTACACATTTGCTCATGTGATTCATTGTTTTGCACCTATGCATCAAGAAAGAAAGAAAGAAAGAAAGAAAGAAAGAAAGAAAGAAAGAAAGAAAGAAAGAAAGAAAGAAGAAAGGAAGGAAGGAAGGAAGGAAAGAAGGAAGGAAGGAAGGAAGGAAAAAAGGAGAGAAAGAAGGATGGAAGGAAAAGAGAGAGAAGGAAAGGAGAAAGGTATGGAAGGAAGAATGGAAGGAGGGAAAGAAGGAAGGAAATAAGGAAGGCCAGAAGGAGGGAGAAACTATAGCAAGTCCTTGAGGTTTGTGAATATGTCCCTTCCGGCTCTGAATCCATGACGCTGTGATCTTTCTTTGGTTTTCTTCCCTGGCTTGCAGAAATGAACCAAAGAAGCTGCTAATTCTGATGCAGTGGATCATAAATGGCAGAAATACAATACTCTGTGCTGCCCCTATCTGTCGCACACACTCATGCACATGGAATCTCAGCACAGCAGAGCTGGGAGCTTTGTGTGTGGCTGCAACCAAATCAAAAACAAATAAGAGCTGAATTGCTATAACAACAGTAGCCTTACCACAATTTCTGGGAACTTAGACAGCCCGGTTATCTAATGACTTGTAGTGTTTGTCCATGTCACCTCCTATCTCCCTAGCAGGTCCACAAGCCCTAAAATGTGCCCCATGAGTGGCCCGTGTCTGTATGTGCTCTTGAGCACACAAAAGCGGTGACCTAGTAAACTTGGAAGGTTTAATTGCAGGGAGATTTCACAAGCCACACTTGAATACAGCTTTTGAGAACATTCTGAGCTTTTATTCTGCTATACTGGAAAAGAGCAGTTCAAAGGTAGAGTTCGTAATATCAGCTATAATTTTAAAGTGTCCCGATTTACGGGTCATCTGAGGGCTTTTGGCCCAGTCTTCTGTTTGATGCAAAGAACTTCCATTGTGGATGCCGTGACTTCTGTTGCATTTAATAGTAATTGGAAGAAAGGAAAAGGAAAATAAAGTTAGATGATAACTTTATTACATATTTAAAAGAAATAGCATGTTGTACATAATAAATTTACAGTTTCATGTAGGATCATCTTTTTTTTCCTATGTTATAGAAATGCTTGTTTTATTTCTTAAATTAAAAATAAGATAAATACAAATTTTTAATAGCAGATGGTTTTCAGGAAGGGAGTTTCAGTATGCAAAAAAAAATAGTTCACAAAATTTCAGAGTCAGAAGAGAACTTCAGAGATGATATAATCCAATCCATACATGAACAAGAATCTCCAGTCTCTCTCTCTCATATACAGACATGTATACATATATGTGTGTGTGTGTTTGTGTGTGTGTGTGTATCTAACATGTGGTCATTGACTATTAACTTGAAGACCATTAGGGAGGGAAAACTCAACAGTTACTGAAGTAGCTATTTACACTTTTGTACAGTTCTAATTTTGAGAAAGTTTTCCCTTACATCTAAGCTTAAATCTGCCTCTCTGCAACTTCCACCAATTGTCCTGATTTTACCTTCTAGGGTCAAGCAGAACAAGTCAAATATTTCTCTCATATGACAAATCCTTGAAGACAGCTGTCATAGGAGGCAGAGGGTACAGTGGAAACAGCTAGATTTTGAGTCAGAAGACCTGGGTTTAAATCCCATCATGGTTACTTATTACTTAAGTGACTTTGAGCAAATTACCTCACCTTTCTTGTTTTCCTCCTCTATAAAATGAAAGAGTTGGACTAAACTGTGAAATGGAATTCATCAGTTAATATGCTAATATTAACTACATACTAAATACTATTTTCAGATCAGAGGGTCATGGATTTAGAGCTATTAGAGATTATCAAGTACAATTCCCTAATTTTATAGATGAGAAAATTCAGACCCAAATAGGTGAGAGTGACTGGATGAAAGTCATACAGATGTGACTGTTATGGAAGAACTGGAAGATGGAATCAAAGAAAGAGTTAGACATATTTAGTAAAAGCAAGCTTACGGAATGAGAGTTGCTACTATAAATGACCGTAACTAAGTTCAATAAGTGGAATGAAAGTGAAATTGTTAGGTCGTCCTAGCTTCCTTGCAACACTTTAGATTGGTTATTGATCATTTTGTACCCTAGTTTACCTAAATACTAAATTGGATGCTTTGACAATATATGTGTATGTTAATTTTTTTTAAAAAAAGCAAAGAAGCCTCAAATATATGGAGTTCTTAACCTTTACTGTGGTATGGACCCCATTTGCAGTCTGGTAAAGTCTCCACTTTTTTTTGGAAGCTAGGCAGCACAATAGAGTGGAAGACTCATCCTCCCGAATTCAAATCTGACTTCAAAATGTAGTAGCTACATGACCCTATTTGTCTCAGTTTCCTCATATATAAAATGGTCCAAAGAAAGAAATGGCAAACCACTCCAGTATCTTTGCTGAGAAAACCCAAAATGGGGTCATGAAAAGGCAGACACAACTGAAAAAAATGACTCAACAGCAACAAAAGTCTACTCTGGATAATGTTCTTAAATCTATAAAATAAAATACAAAAGATGACAAAGGAAGCCAATCATGTTAAAATACTTTTATCAAAATTTATTTTTAAAAAAAAGTTCATGTGCCCTAAGGTAAGAACTCCTGATCTAATGCCATAATAATTCCCTTTCCCCAGCTTCCTGACAGCCTGTCTATATTGGTGTGGCCTCCTGATCATTAAGGATATTAAAAGGCCCGCCCACATAGTCTGCACCCTTCAGATGTGGTACGTGTCCCAAGACCGCATGAGTCACCATACTCTGCCCTGCTGACTAGATGAGCTTCCATGTACCTGCATGTGTTCAAGGTAAATGTAGCTATATCCTTAGCAAATATTCTTCCTACATTAGGACTGAGTAAACCTCTTCTTGTGTAATGTTCAATGACCTAGGAGTGCTTCATTTTCATCCCAAACTTAACCTTGAACAGAGTTGAAGGATACCAACTTAGATCAGATCCACACCTAAAAAGCTGGTTGACAAAGATCTTGAATCAGGTAAAAGGATGTTCATCATGGATCACAGTGGATAGTGACCAAATAAAGGAAGTTAAGTTTAATGTTAATTTCTGACATTTGAGATCTTCTTCAATGAAGTAAAATAAGGAACAAAGTAAAAGACAACAGAAAGGGAGATAGGTAAAAAAAACAGCTAAGTGAAAGGAAAAATAAAGTAGAGCAAAGTGTGTAGGTGGTGGGGTGAAGAATATCAAGAATAAGTGGAAGAATAAGTGGTGCAGTGGATAGTGTTGGGCCTAGAGTCTAGAAGACCTGAGTTCAAAGTCAACCTCAGACAGTTTCTAATGTGTGACCCTGGGTAATCATTTAACCCTGTTTGCCTCAGTTTCCTCACCTGTGAAATGAGTTGGAGAAGGAAATGGCAAACCACTCTAGTATCTTTTCCAAACAAACCCCAAATGGGGTCATGAAGAGTCAGACACCAGTGAAACAACTGAACAACAATCACAACAATGAAACTAAGTGACTTCAGATGGATGAGTTCAATTCAAAGCTTAAATATATCCAGGGCCATAGAAGCTAGAGCTGACAAGGACCTCGGAGATCATCCAGTTTAACCCTTCTATTTTACAAGTGAGGAAATGAGGTTCAGAGAAATTGACTTGTACGGCGTTACACACAACATCATTTTGTCATCCAAAAGGAAATGAAATTAAGTCAGTATCATTTTGAATTGGGTTAGGGAAAAAAATAATTGGGAAACTGCCTGGAAACTTTGTGTTGAAGCTTTAGAAACAGGGAGGGGGAAAAGCTTGGCACTGTGCATATGAGAACCAGAGGGTACAGAGTAAACTATGACCTCACGTGTTTCTTCACTGTATATCTTCATACATACATAAATACACACACATATCATACTTGTTTAAATAAAATGCAACACATTTTTCTTAGTCAAATATGGTTTGGCCCTTGCATGTTATTATTTTTAAGTGTCCCTATGTAATTACAAATAGTGTTACAATACAAAGCAAAGATATTCTGTCATACTGGGAAATATGAGTTCTATAAAATAAGCAATATTCCAGCAAAATCTTTTTTTTAATCCCTATTCATACACAATTCAGCATGATGTATTGCCAGGTTAAATATCAACTAAAGGTTTATTTTAATGAATCTCTTTTTTTGGTAAATAATATTTTACTCTTTTCTAATTAAATATAAAGATAATCTTAAACATTAATTTTTATAAGATTATGAGTTCCAAATTTTTCTTCCTTCGTCCTTTCCCTCTTCCCTCCCCAAGCCAGGAAGCAATCTGATATAGGTTATACATGTGCAATCATGGAAACATATTTCCACATTAGTCACATTGTGAAAGAAGAAAGAGAACAAAAGGGAAAAACCACAAGAAACAAACAAACAAACAAAAAGTGAAAATAATATGCTTCGATCTGCATTCAGATCCCATAGTCCTTTCTCTGGATATGGATAGTATTTTCTGTCATGAGTCTTCTGGACCTGTCTTAGATCACTGTATTGCTGAGAAGAGCTAAGTCAATCATAGCTGATCATTGCACAGTGTTACTGTTACTGGGTACAATGTTCTCTTGGCTCTGCTCACTTCACTCAGCATCAATTTGTGCAAGTCAATTCAGGTTTCTTATTTTTAAATTTATTTATTTTTAGTTTCCAACATTCACTTCCATAAGATTTTGTTTTAAATTTAATCTCCTTCCTTCTCCTCCCCCCTCCCCAAGACAGCATAAAATCTGATACAGGCTCTAATTATATATTCATATTAAACATATTTTCACGTTAGTCATGATGTAAATAAGAATTAGAACTAATGGGAGGAACCACAAGAAAGAAGAAACAAAACAGCAAAAGAAAAGCAGAGCAAATTGTATGCTTCCATTTGTATGCATTCAGACTCCAAAGTTCTTTCTCACATCCAGTGGATAACATTTTCCATCAGGAGTCTTTTGGAATTATCTTCAACCACTGCATTGCTAAGAAGAGCTAAATCTATCAAAGTTGGTCATTGCAGAGTGTGGCTGTTACTGTGTGCAATGTTTTCACGGTTGTGCTCACTTCACTCAGCATCAGTTCATGGAAGTCTTTCCAAGGTTTTCCAAAGTCCACTTTCTCATCATTTCTTTTTTTTTTTCAGTTTTTGGGGGGGGTTTTGTTTGTTTGTTTTTGGCTAAGCAATGGGGTTAAGTGACTTGCCCACAATCACACAGCTAGTAAGTGTTATGTGTCTGAGGCCCGATTTGAACTCAAGTCTTCCTGAATACAGGGCTGGTGATCTATCCACTGTGCCATCTAGGTGCCCCCCTCATCATTTCTTATGGAACAATAGTATTCTGTTACATTCATAGGCCACAATTTGTTCAGCCATTCCCCAACTAATGGGCATCCCTTCAATTTCCAATTCTTTGCCACCACAAAAAGAGCTGCTACAAATATTTTTTTTTGTAGATGTATGTCCTTTTCTCTTTTTTGTGATCTCTTTGGGATACTGATGTTGTAGTGATATTGATGGATCAAAGAGTATGCACAGTTTTATAGCCCTTTGGGCATAATTCCAAATTGCTCTCCAGAATGGTTGGATCAGTTCACAACTCCACCAACAATGCATTAGTAAAATGAAAGGGTTAGACTAGATAATCTCCAAAGTCCTTGACAGCTTTAGCTCCTATGGCCCTGAATATATTTAAGCTTTTGAATGGAACTCACTCGTCTAAAGTAACTTAGCTTCATTGTTGTTATTGTCGTTCAGTTGTATTTCAGTTATGTCCAACTCTTCAGTTTTGCCATGTCTTCTCCAACGATAATCATTTTCCTTTTCTGTCAATAGTAGCCAATCTGATAGGTGTGAGGTGGTTGTACCTCGGAGTTTTATTAATTTGCATTTTTCTAATCAATAGTGATTTAGAGCATTTTTTCATACTATTAATAGTTTTAATTTCTTCATCTGAAACATCTTGCTAATATTCTTTGACCATTTATCAATTGGGGAATGGCTTGGAGTCTTATAAATTTGACTTAGTTCTCTATGTATTTGAGAAATGAGGCATTTATCAGAAACACTTACTGTAAAAATGGTTTCCCATCTTTCTGCTTGCCTTCATTCCTTTTTCTACTTGTTTGCATTGGTATTCTTTGTGCAAAATCTTTTTGATTTAATGTAATCAAAATTATCCATTATGTATTTCATAATGTTCTCTATCTCTTGTTTGGTCATAAATTCTTCCCTTTACCATAAATCTGACAGATAAAGTGTTCCTTGCTAATTTGCTGAAGTATCACCCTTTACATCTAAATCACGTACTCATTTTGACCTTATCTTGGCATGTGATGTGAGATGTTGGTTTATGCCTAGTTTCTTCCACACTATTTCCAGTTTTCCCAGCAGTTTTTGTCAAATAGTAAATTCCTATCCCAGAAGCTGGAGTCTTTGGGTTCATCAAACAGTAGATAACTACAGTCACTTATGACTATGTCTTGTGTACCTAATCTATCCCACTGATCCACCACTCTTTTTCTTAGCCAGTAATAGTTTTGATGATTGCTACTTTATAATATAGTTTTAGATTTGGTATGGCTAAGCCCCTTCCTTTGAATTTTTTCTCCCAGGTGAATTTTGTTATTATTTTTCTAGCTCTATAAAATATTTTTTAGTAGTTCAATTGGTATGGCAATGAATAAGTAAATTAATTTAAGTAGAATTGTCATTGTATTATAATAGCTCCGCCTACCCATGAACAATTGATATTTTTCAAATTGTTTAGATATGACTTTATTTGTGTGAGAAATGTTTTCTAATTGTGTTCATACAGTTTCTAGGTTTGTCTTGGCAAGTAGACTCTCAAATATTTTATATTGTCTACAGTTATTTTAAATGCTTTTTCTTTCTATCTCTTGTTGCTGAGCTTTGTTGGTAATATACATATGTAGAAATGCTGATTATTTATGTGAGTTTATTTTATATCCTGCAACTTAGTTAAAGTTGTTAATTATTTCAAGAAGCTTTTTAGTTGATGCTCTAGGATTCTCGAAGTATACTATCCTATCATTTGCAAAGAGTGATAGTTTTGTCTCCTCGTTGGCTATTCTAATTCCTCCAATTTCTTTTTCTTTTTTTATTGTTAAAGCTAAAATTTCTAGAACAATACTGAATAATAGTGGTAATAATGGACATCCTTGTTTCACCCCTGATCTTATTGAGGTTTCTAGTTTATCCCCATTACAGATAATGCTTGCTGATGGTTTTAGACAGATACTACTTATCACTTTATGGAAACCTCCATTTATTCATATGATCTGTGTTGTTGTTAATAAGAAAGGTTGTTTTATTTTGTCAAAAGCTTTTTTCTGCATCTATTGAGATAATCATATGATTTCTGTTGGTTTTGTTATTGATATGGTCAAATATGCTAATAGTTTTCCTAATACTGAACCAGCCCTTCATTCCTGGTATAAATCCTATCTGATCACAGTGTATTATTCTGATGATAATTTATTATAATCTCTTTCCTAACATTTCATTTAACATTTTTGCATTGATATTTGTAGGAAAATTGGTCTATAATTTTCTTTCTCTGTTTTGGCTCTTCCTGATTTAGGTATCAGCACTGTATTTCTGTCATAGAATGAATTTGATAGGGCTCCTTTGCCTATTTTTCCAAACAGTTTATATAGTTTTTGTAATTAATTGTTCTATAAATGTTTCATAAAATTCACTTGTAAATCCATCTAGCCCTTCTTAGGGAGTTCATTGATGGCTTGTTCAATTTCTCTTTCTAAAATGGGTTATTTATGTATTTTATTTCCTCTTCCGGGCATTTTCAATTTTTGTAAATATTCATCCATTTCACATGGATGCAGATTTAATGGCACACAGTTGGGCAAAATAGCTCCTAATTATTGTTTTAATTTCCTCTTCATTGGTGGTGATTTGACCCTTTTGATTTTTGATACCAGTAATTTGGTTTTCTTCTTTCTGTTAATCAAATTAATCAAAAGTTTATCTGTCTTATTGGGTTTCTTTTTCATAAAAACAGCTCTTAGTTTTATTTATTAGTTCAAATAGTTTTCTTTCAATTTTATTAATCTCTCCTTCGAGTTTCAGAATTTTTAATTTGGCGTTTAATTGAGGGTTCTTAATTTGTTCTTTTTCTAGCCTTTTAAATTGCATGTCCAATTCATTGATCTACTAATTCTCTATTTTATGCATGTAAGCATTTAGAGATATAAAATTTCCCTTAAATACTGCTTTGGCTGCATCCCATAAATTTTGGTATATTGTCTCATTGTTGTCATTCTCTTTGATGAAATTATTGTTTCTATGATTTCATTGTTTGACCCACTCATTCTTTAGGATAAAATTATTTAGTTTCAAATTAATTTTAATCAATCTTTCCATGGCCCTTTATTTCATGTAATTTTTTTTTATTGCATCATGATTTAAAAAGGGTGCATTTAATATTTCTGCCTTTCTGTATTTGATGGTGAGGTTTTTATGCCCTAATACAGGGTCAGTATTTATGTAGGTGCCATGCACCACTGATGAAAAGATACAGTCCTTTCTATCCCCATTCAATTTTCTCCACAGGTCTAGTATATCTAACTTTTCTAAAATTCTGCCTACTTCCTTAACTTCTTTCCTGTTTATTTTGTGGTTAGATGTATCTGGTTTTGAGAGGGGGAGGCTTGCCTAGACACTGCCTGAGCTAGGCTGCAGTTTCCTTTTACTCAAGTGAGAGAGATTTTTCCTGAAGTTCTTCTAAGTTGTGTTGGGCTGGCAAGTTGTTTCACTCCATCTTTTTGTGGATTCTGTCTCTCCAGAATCCATTTAGAGGCTTGATTTCATGTTTCCATGGGAAACTCGGGAGAGCTCAGGCAACTTCCTAGCTTCTCTCCACCATCTTGGCTCCACCCCACCTCACCCCCATTTTAATGAATTTTTAATCTAAATGTGACAGGAAACTGTCTGGAGTTGACAGAATATAAAAGAAAAGGAAACCCTCTATCCACATCTATCTAATATAGGAATATAAGATGTGGATAAAATGTTTATAATCTGTATATAAATATGTATAATTGTCTATAACGTGTATAAAAATCTAAAAGTCTATATAAATATTTAGATAGAAGATATAGATATAGAAAAAATATAAAAGTCTTAAATAATTCAACTTAATATGACTCTCCATCGATTTGAAAATGTATATCAGTGTTATCAGATCATTAAATAGGATTATAATGCAGTGTCTGGAAATTTTTTTATGTGGATTTTAAAAATATTTTCTTATATAAGATATTACTGAGTTCACATTATCCTTTGGCAATTTCTATATGAAGCCTTTCCTGAACTACCTACCCCCCACTGCCTATGCCACCCCAAGCTGCCGGTGCCTTCCTCCCCAATCTAATCACTTAGCACTTATTTAGCATGTAACTAGATCCACACACAGAGAAGCAATATGGTATAGTAGACAGAGAGGTGGTTTATGAACTATAATACCCCCCCCCACCTCTGACACCTACTGGACTTGTGACTTTGAGCTGGTAATGTAATTGCTAGTACACAAAGCAACCCTCTAAGACTAAGTTTCAGAGGAGGCACCATTGATAAAAGGACTTTCCTCATTCAGACATTTCATGTCTCGGTATGCACATTTCTCTGCTGACAGAATATAACAGCCTTGAGGGCAGGAACAGGTTCACTTTCGTCTTTATATCCCCAGTGCCTTGCCTAGCACATGATTAATAAATGCTTCTTAGTTGCTTGATTCATTCATCCATTTATTAATTCAATAAATGTTAAGTACCAAAAAGCATCATGCTGTGCACTCAGTAATGTTCAAAGTTTGGATAAGACATGGCCTCTATCATCTTGGAACTTACAACCTAATAGAAGGATAAAGCACATTGTTCATTAATCAACTACTATTTCTTAAGGGTGTAGAGAACACCTTAACTGCTAAGGAAAATCCACAGTTTTAGCTAAGGGAAAATCCCTCCCTTTATCTAATTTACCATCTAGTTGACTAATCCATTCCCTACTTGGATGCCCTATGAGAGGTTGGTCTCCCTGGATACTTGATCATCTTCTGGGCCTATTCTCATCTTTGGCCCAGATTGAATCCATTACCCTTATATTTTATTCCTTAAGGACCTTTACCTATGACAAGTGCCAGGCAACAAACCTGATAAACTGATCTATGAGTTATTGAAATGTATTAGTTTAACATGCATTTTAACAAGGTCATTATAGGAATTCAAAGTTCAAGAAAATGACTTCAATGTACTCAATTCATGCAAGGCAGTAAGTTACAGAAAAATGTCTTTAGTAGGAATTTCAATGTCTTCATCCTAGCTGATAGAGAACCTAAGGAGACACATAACATAGAAAGGACAGTGGCTTTGAGTTCAAAAGGTCATAGATTTAGAAGAAGAGGACGCCTCAGAAGTACTAATAACAGCCCTTCACATGACAGACCTATTTTAACCTAAACTCTGTCACTTAACCACAGTAAGTCACTTGAGCTCTTAAGGCTTCTTTTTCCTACCCTATAAATGAGGAAATTGAACTAAATGATGTCTAAATGTTACTTTTTTTAAACTAAATGTTAAATCTGGAAGAATGTAGGCAAATACTTTACATATGACTCATGATATTAGAAGACAACTTATAAACCCTGGTGCACTGAGACGTTAAATGACTTGGCCAGAGCCACACAACAGATATTTGTAAGAGGAAGGACTGGACCCTTGGACTTCCTGACTTGGAAACCACCCTACTATACACTACAATGACTATAAAGTATGGTCTACAGTATAGTGACTGCAGTATATGGTCTATATTACAATAACAACAGTGTATTATACAGACAATATAGTGATTAAAATAATTTACCTCTTGGGGGCAGGCTAAATGATCTCTCAAGGGTCCTTTATCTTTTTTTTTTTATTTGAAGAGTAGGACTGCTTTTTTTCTTCTTTAATTCCACAGTCCTATTCAATGGCTCTTCTCTGCCTATTACATTTTAACAGCAACATTTATTCAAGAGAGATCACATTTGACCAACACTCAATATTCAACACTCAATACTCATTGCCAAGAACCATGGATAAGTGTTTGGAAAAGCCTGGACCTTTGGACTGCTCTCATCTCAAAGGTCAGATCCAGGAGTGGGAGCATCAAATGACTCCAGGGAAGAGTCTAAATGGTAACAAGGTATGATCTAGCTAAGGAATTGTGACAAATTATTTTACTGTCACTTATATTCACACTAGGTGTACAAATTTAACATAGAGAAAGCTACTTATGTTCTCTTAGAAAAGGGTCTGCAATTAGAATATGCTGACATCAGGGGCACAGGCCCTTGCATAAGGTCTCATGGCCCAAAAGCCAGGCTTTTGGGAGGGACAGTTAACTGAAAGAACATTCATCCAGTATCCTATTCACTTATTCTTATTTTTTAAATCAATCAATCAATAAGCATTTAATTACCTACTTGATGAGCTCTGTGCTAGGGGATGGTGATGCAAAGAACTAACATTCCCTACTCTCAAGAACCTTGCATTAAAAGAGTGAAGTAAATATTCCAAATGACCAGCTTTTTCAAAGAAATGCAAATGCCTGGATATAATCTGGTAACTTGCTCAAAAATAATAGATAAATTAAATATTTACTCTAATCTTGTTTTCTCCCAGATCTGAAGAGAATCCTTCTTTCTACTTAACCCTGAATCTTTGTCTTCCATTCCAAAGTCCTTCTTAGGGCATATTCATGGGTCTGAAGCTCCAGGTTAAATTGATGTCAAAAATCCTTTGAACTTTTCCCTACTGAGAGATATCTGACTATTACTTTGCTGCTAATCAAAGAACAAACGTTAGTTTGACTATAATGGATCCTGCTTTTTTTTTCTCCCTGGCATTTCTAAGGCACAAAGAAGAAACTGCAAGGGGAGACAAACAATCTCTTCTCTCTGTTCTCCAGCACCTTAAATTCCCTGACTTCTCAAGCACACAACTGCTTCCCCTACCCATCTCCCACTCTCCCTTACCCCCCCCTCAAAAAAAAAGGAATTCACTACAGAAACAATGAGATGGATCTGGTCTCTGAGAAGTTTGTGATTCTTTTTTCCCTAATCCAAAGGTATTCTTGTCACCTGAAAACGGTCCTTTTGTTTGTTTGTTTTCTGATTTGAGGAATCTGAACTCTTGTACCCTTCCTTCAGGGAACCACATACAGCAATTTCATTATCAAGAAGCTCTTACTCACATGCTTGTTTTTAATACAAAGTGCTTTGTGTTAAAGGGACCTTACCCTTTCCACAGCACATGACATTAAGTATATACGATAATATATATTTTATATGTAATCCACATAATATATATGATTCCCAGCATATAACATTAAGTATATATAAAATTACATATAAATATACATATAAATGTGTAGACATAATAATAGCTAACAATGTGTATAGCACTTTAAGTTCTGCAAAATACTATATACATACATACATGTATGTATGTATATGTAATTTCATTTGATTTGATATTCAATTTTTATTTTATAGATGAGGAAACTGAGGCTGATAGAGGGTAGGTGATTTGCCTGGGGTCATTAGGCCAGCAAAAATCCAAGGTGGCATGAGAATGCAGGTCTTCATGACTCCATGTCCAATTCATAGTCACAGTGTCACCTACCTGCCTATGCGATAACATACAGAACTTAACAAGCTTTTGAATACAAATATAAGGTGATGACTTGTCTACAAGGTCATTGCCCAAGTAAGGGTCATCAACACAAAGTCAGAAGCCTAGGGAAAGGCTAGAAAGGTTTCCAGGACAAGATTTCCAAATGTTAATGCAACAGGGAGATAGAGACTTAAATGCAACCATTTGCCTCCTGTAATGATAGGATGACTCAGCCTCTTCTCCTCCCCTGCCCCATTGAAGATTTATGCTGCCCATGACATTAACCACAGAAGGCTGAGATCCAGCAGTGCTCTGCTCAAAGGGCTGGACACTCAAATTTCCCATCCTCTTTATTGCTCACTTTTGTATACAGCTCTATTTCATTCGTGCTTTTTGTTCTGCCGCCATTCCTTATATGACCTTACTATCCTAAGACTTGCCATAGTCGGTCAGTCACAAGATACATCCATCCTGGTAGTGTTTCTCCCATAACAGTGCCAAGGAACATCTCATGGGATAGATTATCGTCCTGAAAGTAACCTCAAAGGATAAGGATGTACATCATAGCATTTTAGTAACCTTTTATGGATCTAACATTCATGAATTTACCTAAACCTTTTTTAAACTATTACATATACCTTCAAACTCCAATACTTTTTTCATGTTTTCTTTTGTTTTTTGTTAACCTCTTTGCATCTGGTGGAGTGGAAAGAGTGTTGGACTTGGAGTCAAGAAGATCTGGGTTCCAATCCTACCTCACACAGTTCTTAGCCATGTGAACCACATTACCTTAGAGACTCAGGTTCCTCATCTATAAAATGTGAAGACTATATACATCACAGGATTGTTGTATCTAATGGTACAGAGCTCTTTTTGGAAACTCAAAGTGGTATATGGCACACAGGTGGCACAATGGATGGAGTGCCAGGTCTGGAGTCAGGAAGACTCATCTTCTGAGTTCAAATATGTTTTCAGACACTCACTGCCTATGTGACCCTGGGCAAGTCACTTCAACCTGTCTGCCTCAGTTTCTTCATCTGTAAAATGAAGTGGAGAAGGAAATGACAAACCCACTCCAGTATCTGCTAAGAAAACCCCAAATGGGGTCACAAAGGGGCAGACATGACTGAAATGATGAAACAACAACAAAAAGTCCTATAGAAATGCCATTTACCATTACCTCCTTTTACCTTTAAATTATTTGCCCTCTGAAGTTGTAACTTTACCCTGGCTTTCTTGCCAGTGTCGCATAGTCAAGATAATCACCCTGGGTAGGTCATTCAGCTTCTCAGTATCCCAACTGTCTAAGACAATAAATCACAGAATTGGAGATTTCTATTGGTAGAGGGAGTTTCCTTACCAGGCTTTCCATACATCAAACAAATCACAAGCACCTCTCTTCCCAAAAAATTCTGAAGGAAAGGTGATTAACAACGTTTGCTGTGCCAACAGTTACAATTACTGCCACAAAAAAAAGTGAATTGTGAAGAATTCAGAGAAGCAGGGGAACACTTATATGAACTGAACTGATATAAAGTAAGGAAAACCAGAAAAGCAACAGACATACTGAATGTAACAATGTATATAGAAACAACAACAGCAAAAAAAAAAAAAGGAAATTGAATCCTGCTTAAATGGAGTGACCCAACTAGACCCCAAAGAAGAAAGGAGGAAATAGATCTCCCTTCTTTGAAGGAAGGACTCGAAATGTGGAAAGTTGTGCATATTCCCAGACTCAGATGATGTGTTAGGAGTCTGTGCTAAACTGCTTTTCCTCCAATTTGTAATTCTTTGTTCAAAAGGATTATATGGATGATATTTATAACACATTTTAAAAGAAAATAGTCAAATATATCCCCACAAAAAATAGTAGCCCCAATTCTGAAGGCCAACATATCTCCCTTACAAACTGAGTTAATTATCAAGCATTCGCTCTATCTTGTTATATGTGACCTAATCAAATGTCTGTGATATGGTTTGACCATGTCATTCCCCTGCTTAAGAAGTTCCATTGGTTTCCACTTTAACTGTAGGATTAAATATAAACTCTTATGTTTGACTTTCAAAGCCTTCCCAATGTGGTTCTGTCTTCCTTCCCCTCACCTTTCCCCACCTCCCACCTTTATTGTATCTTACTTTCCTTGTCCAAGGCTGAATATTTGCTATAGCCCATCTGTGATAGGATAACTATTTCCCAGGGTTCCCCCTGCTTACATTCATAGGTTAGGCTGGTGCTTTGCTTTTTGGGTTTGTTTTTTGTTTTGTTTTCCCTTGAAAAACCCACAAAGATGTCCCCTGGACTTGATTGGTCCAGAGAGCTAAGGCTAAAGCTTGCCTACCTCGGTATAGCTTCTTGGTAGCCTTTTGATGTGGCTTCTTATTCACCAAAGGCCATAAAAAGACCCACCCACTTGGAGTCGGGTCCCTTTTGACTTGATTAATACCCCAGGACTGGGCAAGTCTCCACACTCTCCCCTACTGACAGTATCCATAGAGAGAAGAGAGGGGACACATCTACTCAGGCCAATTGCCACAGTATCTTGGTTGAATAGCCTTTCTATACTATGAATAAATAAATCTCCTTTAGTTAAAGTGTTTCATTTTGACCCACGTCAGAGTCTGGATTAAAAGGGGACTAGCCTGGAGTTGACCCACCTAGCACAATGAACACGCTATTCTACTTCCTGCCTCCCTGCCTTTGAGTACGCCTCTACCAAGTCTTAAGTATACTACTTACTCCTTACCCCTACCTAGAAGAATCCCTGCCTTCCTTCAGAGGTCATCTAAAGTACCACCTCCTACAGGAAGTCTAACCTTATATTCCCAGGTAGTACCCTCTCCCCATAATGATTGATTTTGTATTCATGTCCTTATATGCCTGTTGTCCGCCACTCCCCAGGAGAATGTAAACTCCTTAGGTGCAAGAGTCTGTTTTGCTTGTATCTCTGTATCTCCGTTTCCTTAGAACCTGGCATTTTATAGGTGTTTAATAAATGTTTGTTGACCCCCTCTCTGTCTCCTCTGCTCTGCCGGCAGCTCTTCACCTTTGCCCCTCACCCGCTGAGAATGTACGCCTGCGCTACCCCAGCCCTCGGGAGGAACAGCTCTCAGGTGTTGAGTAGACTGTTATCTGCAGTGGTGCTACAACAGCCAGAGGTTCGGACAGCGGGGAACCTCAGCGTTTTGGCAGCATCAGGTCCCTTGACCTCACTCGTCCCCAGATGTGGATTCCAAACTAGCACCATCTCAAAAGACATTGACACAGCGGCCAAACTTATCGAGACCGGGGCTGCCACTGTGGGGGTGGCCGGCTCCAGAGTTGGGATTGGCACTGTGTTTGGAAGTCTCATCATTGGTTGTGCAGGAACCCCTCCCTAAAGCAGCAGCTCTTTTCCTACACCATTCTGGGCTTTGCCCTGTCCGAGGCCGTGAGGCTCTTTTGCCTGATGGTGGCCTTCCTCATCCTCTTCACCATGTGATGGAGCCATTTCTATCCCCCAATGTTTCTGAATGTTCCTCCTCGTCATCCTGGTCCTTCTATGTCTCTTCCAGCCTGTGTTTACCTCCTCCCCGGCCACCCCCCAATCTTACCATCCAGCCCTGGGGAAAGCCATGGTCAGGGTTTGACAGAGGGAAGACAAATAGATACTGTATTTAAAAAAAAAAATGACTGTTGAATGTTGAATAATTGATAGGAACACTAAATATACAATAGGTCCAGGTAATAACAAACCCTGTTTTACTGGGGTTCTAACGTAATGCCCATAAACTTTGTAATGACAATTAAGAAATTCTGACTTTTTTTTAACCTTTCAAGTCTCATCATAAGAAGCGCTGACCTGATTGAAATACTTTTGTTTTAAACTGCATAGCTGTTGCTGACTGGCCAAATGAACATAATGAGAAATCAGTAGGTACTTGTCCTTGATGGCATAATTGTCACAATTAACCTTTATATAAGATGCAAAACTTAATGGAACCTATCCCAGACACATACAGATGAAATGGAGCACTTCATTAGATAGTACCCCAAGCATCACTATTCTGCCACTAGAAAAGTCAAATCATGAGCTACAAAGGGGTGGCTTCCTGGATGGCCAGGACCTCTTTTACAATCTTAGGAAAGAAACTTCCTAAACTTGTACTCCCTAGCAATAGAAATTAAATATTAGCTGGAAATACAGTGTTGTTTTAATGAATGGGTTGGACTTGTCAGAAGTTCTGGGTCTGAATTCCAGTGTAGACACTTGTTAGCCTTGTAACCATGAACAAGACACTAACTGAGCTGAACCTCATTTTTCTCAGCTGAAGAGAATTTAGGGTCAAGGTGTATTGACTGGAAAAGTGCTGGGCTTGAAATCAGGAAATCTGTGTGACCTTAAGACTAACATATGGAACCAGGATATGAAATAAAAGTTTCCTTTTATATGACTGCCTACCGAATTGCAAAAAGAACTATGTATTCAAATGATTCAGTTCAGTTTAATGAACATCTAGTAAACTCCTATGTGCCAGATTGTTGATATGTAACAATGATTATGCAGGTTATAGTCTTTGCTAACAGAGAATTACAGTTTAGTAGTGGTATAGAATACAGACACAGATAATGACATTTTAAAATGCATTATAAGTGCATTAGTACAAACAAAGGTAAGTTACAAGGAAGAAAACATCCTAATTGACCTGGCCTCTTTATGACTAGGGTTTCCTTACCTTTCAAAATGTCTGACCTTTAAGGACTTTTTAATAACATTTCAAAAAGAGATTGGCCAGGCATATTTTTGTATTGAATATGTTTTTAAGTGGGTAGTGCACTTGAAATAATGAAAACAAGCTCTTTGCTGCATTTAGATCTATCGCACAGACCAGTCACATTTCTCCATCAGACCTGGAATCATTCTTGCCGCTTTCCCTGGAGAACTCATATCAGTTAATGAGGGAACCCAGCAGTCTTTTCATGTTTGTCAGGCTTAGCTCCTAAACTGCTATTCCCTAGGTCATTTATTGAGACTATTGGGAGGGATTCTGAGGTTGAGCACTCAAGGGGAGCAAGTAATGAGAGGCCATGAAGGGAGAATGAAATCAGAGGGAGATCTGATAGGGATTTGGTGAGGGGGGAAGGGAAGCAGATAAAGAAGACTTAGAAGTCTGTGACCTATTTTTAGTACCAGCAGCTAAGTCTCCTAGGAAAGATGTGAATGCTGATTACAAATGCTAGTGAGATTTAAATCTTAATAATAAAGTGTCCTGTGCTCAGGACAGGAAGGCGCTACATATAAATACATGTTTCTACGCCCAAAATTCTATTTTATTGGTATTTTACTTAGTTGTCTAAAGAGATCAGATAAAAAATGAAAAGATAGCCTAAATAGTCATATTATTTCATGATGGAATCAGAGAGGACTTGGTTATTTCAACAAGAATAGTAGTCTTCTACAAAGAGGCAATGTGTCCAAGGGCACAGAGAAAGCCCAGGGTATAAGGCCTGCTTGTATCCCTACTAGGTTTGTGATCTTGGGCAAATCACTTAATCTCAGCATCTACCAGACAACTCTTCTTTTTAATAGTATTTTACTTTTTCCAATTACATGTAAAAACAATTTTTAATATTAATTTTTTAATAAAATTTTGAGTTCCAAATTTTCTCCCTCTCTTCCTTCCCTCCCCCTTCCCTAAGACAGTAAGCAATTTGATATAGGTTATATATGTACAATCATGTAAAACATATTTCCATATTAGTCATATTGTGAAAGAATAAACAGACCAAAAAAAGCACACATGTGCACGCACACACACATACATACACACACACACACAAAGTGAAAAGAGTATACTTAATGTGGACAACTCTTCTAAGACTTAATTTTCAGAAGAGTTGGAGCTATGAATCATTGTGGGAATTCCTACCTTGGTATTTCCCTACACAGATAAAAATCACAGATCCACCCAAAATCTTTCTACAATTCTTTGACATTATTATATTATTTTATGCATCTCATCAAGCAAGTGGGCAAAGAAAATGGAAGAAGAGAGAGAGAGATACTGTTTCATTATCCTTTTAAAGCTAATATTCAACAAAATTTTAGTTGACAGGCAGCACATTGGCGTAACGCATGCTAGACTTAGAGAACCTGAAATCAAGTTCCCATTTTGCTATTTACTACCAGTGGGATGTGGACAAGTTACTAACTTCTCTAGAGTTCAGTTCTTCCTGTATAAAAAGAAAAGGTTGGACTAAAGGGCCTCTGAGTTTCCTGCAAGTTCTAAATCTATGATTCTATGACCTCAACACCCACCCAACAGTGACCCTTTAAGGACTTGGCTACTGTTGGGCCTCTTACCTTTCTTTCCATTCAGACTTTTATTATATAGATTTTATTTTTCCCTATAAGGAGCTCAGGAGTGGAAGCCTGGGTTAGGTTCTTTCTTCAACTCCCTTGAGCTCTGCGCCCACAATAGTTGGGAATGCTTCAAAGTTTCAATCAGTGCCAAAGAGAAGGGGGAGTGCCTTTCTTCTTTTAACCACAGACCCAGCCGAGGATTAAGGAGTGGCTGTTATCCACACCACATAAAGTCTCGCTAAGACCACTTTTACCCTAAGAACTAGGCCTTGTGACTTGGAGTATTCTAAGTGTGGAATGCTTGAAGCATGCATTACATCAGCCTGTTTGTCTGCCTGAAGCAACCCTAAAAAAACTTCCCTCTGAGTTTAGCAATATCCCTCTTTAATTACTAACAGGGGTTTCTATTGAACAACAACAAAACAAAACAAAAAACATGCCTTTTCTTCATTATTATTATTGTAATTATTCTTGTTCATAATAACAAACAGTTACATTCATATTGCTCTTTTTAAGTTCACAACAATTTTTATAAAGCATTGTATTTGATTTCTATTGTAAATGTGCGAGGCAAGAAGGACAAATATCGTTATTTCCATCTTAAAAATGAAGGATCATAGATATAGAACTCCAAGGCACATCACAGGCCAATCTAGTCCAAACCCTCATTTTACAGATGAGGAAACTGAGGACCAAATGCATTAAGTGACTTGCCCAATGTCACTTGGTAAATATCAGAGGCAGGTGCAGAGAGTTGTGATTCATTTAGCATCGCACCGCTTGTGAGAGGTAAACATCAGTCCTGACACTAGAAGTTCTTCTGCTGATCACCTATTATCCTCACTACAAGAGCTTATCATTTCTCTTTATTGTACATCCCAGCCTGTGGGATGGGAGTGGGGGAGGAAAGAGAGAGGGTGAGGACCATAGTGTTATTATAAGAAATCAAAGAATCTACTACATACACTAAACATTGACGTTATTATGTCATTAGGTATTTCCTCAGTGACCAGGTAATGCTGGTACAAATAGAATCATGTGGGAGGTCCTCCAATTTTCTTCTTATGAAAAAGATGTTCCCAAATACCAAAATCCTGGTGCAGGTTCCATTACTGAAAAGATTTATTTTCACCTAGTGGTCCAGTAATACCTTAAATTATAATAGATAATTATGTTTCATATTATTACATCATGTACATGTTATATGATATTAGTCACAGATAACATTAAATACCAAAAATAATTATTAACTCTCATAGAAAATTATTCAATACAAAAAAAGTCATCAACACTCTCTCCTGCCCCCAAAGAAATACCTAATTTCCAATACAGAAATCAGTCAAATGACATATTTTTAAGGGAAGAGTGCTTCCTCATGCCTCTCAAATCTTATGTAACCCAAAAGGAGTGCTATGAAGCTCATCTACTTATATGGCCATAGGTAGTAGGGCTAATAAATATACATTATCCCCACTGAAATTTCTGTAGTCCCAGTGATTTATTTTTTAAAATAACTACAATATAGGTTAGCATTTAAAATAGTCCAATTTAAATGCATAATACCATCATACATTAAGTTGTACCACATGCTAAACATTTATTTTTCCAACCAGTTAAACTTAGTTTGTAATATAATTCAGTTCAATTCAATTCAACAAGCATTTAATCATATTTGTATTGTTGCAGTCACTGTGCAGGTTGTTTTCCTGCTTTAGCTGACTTCAATTTGCATCAGTTCATATGGCTTCCTGTGCTTTTCTTTATTCCTCATATCCATCATTTCTTCTGGCACAATAACCTCCTACTACACAGTGACGATGCCTACCCTCAAAGAATTTACATTTTAAGGGGGAAAGAGCACATAAAGAGGAGGTAGAAAGGGAGGGGGAAATGAGGAAACAGAGGGTTGGTTGGGAAATGACAGAGAAGTAGAGGAGTAAATGACTGATTCTGAATAAGAAAAGAAGAAAACTCACCTATTGGAACCAGTGGTCCTAGAGGTAGAGTGGGGTCAAGAAAAATTATGAGAATGGGGCAGGTAGATGGTGCAGTGGATAGAGACCTGAAGTCAGAGGACCTGAGTTCAAATCTGGCCTCAGACCAAACACTTGACACTTACTAGCTCTGTGACCCTGGGCAAATCACTTAACCCCAATTGCCTAAAAAAAAAAATGATGAGGATGGCTGCAGTGAAGATGGCATAGTTTGGAAATGGCCAGGAAATACTGTGGTGGTTTGGTTCTAGTTAAGAT